GCACTCCAGTCTGGGTGACAGAGTGAGACTCCAACTCAAAAAAACAAACAAACAAAAAAATAAATAAAGTGTAAAGGAAACTTAACTGCCAGCCTCAGGCTGCAGGGCAAGCTTCACACTCCCTCCTTCTCCCCACTGTGACAGCTCTTGTCTCCTCCCTCCACACCTACTCTCAGCTGTGACCAGGGAGGACTAAGGAGACAGGAAACGGTCGGGTGAAGTATTAAGGCTCCACAGTCACTCTCTTGGTCAGGCAAGGACTAAAAGCCATGCTCGAATGAGGAGTCTTTAGTCAGTAAAGGCAGAAGTCAGTGTATCTGTCTCTCATTAGGCTCACCGAAATATACGCCCTCCCCTCATTCTGGGAAGGTATGAGAAAAATCTAATAATTGCAGATGTTCATGTTGGTGACTTTTAGTGAAAGGACCATATGGCAGTTGAGGGAAACTGCTAGGGGAGGGAGGGGCACACCTCATCAATAAGGGTACCTGCATAATCAACATTTGTATACCTAACCCTGGATTGTACACCACATCTTTATAAGTAAAAAAAAAAGAAAAAAAGAGCCTGCAGGCCCATTCTGATGCCTTGGTGTACCTTGGACCCATCATCCGTGGCCAGAGGGTAGGACAAGGGACCTGGCAGCCATGTGGATGGGGGAGGGGCTTCTGGACGGAGAGTCCCACAGAGATCCATGGTGGTTTCAGTGAGGTTTCTGTCAACTCCTCCTTGGGCTGAGACCATCCCTGTTTCAGTTTGGGATCCACAGGGCCCAGTTTGAGCCCTCCAGGCCCACATGTGGTCTCCTGCAGGTGGCAGTGTGGAGGCCCCCAGGACGAAGTTCACCCGCCCACCCAGCCTCTCCGGGAGCCAGAGCACCCCAGCCAGTGAGACCAGGGCAGGCTCTGCAGACCTGCAGGTGGGCATCCCACCCAGGGCCGACCCCAAAGGCCCCGGTGAGTACCCAGCTGCTGCCTTCTCCCCCTCTCCTGCCCCCATGACCCTCTTTCTTACTCACTCTGCCAGAACTGGAGATGGTAGGTGATGTTTTCAGTTCTCCATGTTTACTGAGCACTGTGCCAGGTGATGGGGAACAAGCTGAGCCAGACCCTATCCCTGCCTGCGATGGACCAAATAACAAAGGCAGCCATCCCTAGCCACTCTCAGTAGCTATAGCAATGGTTATTATCATTCCCTGCTTTACCAGAGGTACAGCCTGTCAAAACATGCCCTCATCTCCATAATGGTCATAGTAACGCCTGCTTCAAGAGCACCTACTATGTGCTGGGGAGCTCAGTCCTCACTGAGCCCCATCATGTGCCCAACCTGAGCTAGGAGCACCATGGGACAGTCCTTGTCCTCCAGAAACCTGCGGCATTGCTAAAGAAGCCAGATCAACCTACCCAGAACAGAGCCCCACCCAGAGCTAGCCCAAACCGTAGGAGCGAGATTCTAGAACCCAGCCTACCTAGCACCTCTGCTTTCACTCTGTTGGCAGGTAGCCTGGGGGCTTATTGTCCCCACTGGATAGGTGTAGAAACCAAGACACAGAGAGGGTAAGGGAAGAAACCCTTGGCTCCCACCCTGCCCGTGCCCACCCTGCTCTGTGTTGTCCCTGTCAATAGCCAACCCCGGGTCATCATGTGGTGGGGGATGATAGCAGAGGGTCTCCTCACACTCAAACTCCTTCAAGAAAGAAGTTTCAAGTGGCTGGGGACCTCTGTGACCAGAGGATGGACGGGAGCACGTGTGCATCCGGGCTGCAGCTGCTCTCCCACCTCGGGGTGAGGAGGGGACCCGGCAGCCACCCACAAGTACCCCCTCCCCCACCTCCTCCTCCTCTTCTCTCCCTGATGCAACATTTCCCCAGAAGCCACAGGGCATCCAGGGAGGAGGCAGTGGTGGGCAGGTCTCCGGGAGTGAGGGGCATATGTGGCTGTGGAGCAGACCCTGACCCCTCCCTCTAGCGTCCTGAAGTCCTCCACAGAGGACTTGAGTTCTAGACCTGGCCCCATTACCCATAGCCACGTGACCTTGGGCAAACCAGGTTTAACCATATGAAATTGCATCTTGTAGAGCCGAAATAGTCAGACATCAACAATTTGATATGGGTCACCCTAATACTTGATCTCTCTGCATCCTTTATCACGAAAGTGTCCCTCACAGGATTGTGGGGAGGCAAAATTCAACATCCATGTGGAGTACTTCCCCTGAGTGGTCCTCAGGAAGTGTCCAGTCATAAGAGGGGGAGGCCCATGGCCAGTGCATAGCAAGGGCTCCTGGAAAGGATTGGCCTGAAGGAGGATTTCATGTTCCCTTGTCCCTTTGTTCCATCCAGCATCCTAAGATCCCCCTGTTGATTACCTGGGTCTGGACAGGTAGACTGAAGCCCTGAGGGTAGTCAGAGTGCTGCTGGGCCTGGAGCTGGGGCTCCCGCCCAGGCCCAGCCCCAGCGCTCCCAGCCCATAGCCTCAGGTGTGGGGTTGCTCCCCAAGGAGCCTGCCTTCCCTCCCCCCAGTTTTCTTTTTTTTTTTTTTTTTTTT